AGACTTCTCAAAATTGATTTAGTCTAAAAAAAGAAGACTAGCTTACCAAATTAGACCACAAAAAAGCTATGTAATTAAAGAGGGATGGAAGTAGAGATAAAAATAACGATAAGGAATAAAAAAGTTTTATAGAGAAATAAAAAAAGGGAATATACGAGAGGATCACCGGCTAAAAATTCTGAGTTTTTTGTAAAAACTATAATTGTAAAACTGAAAAGGAGTGTTAAAGCCCACGATGTTGTATATATTCCCCTCCCCCTCCCTACACCATTGCTGGAACTCGTCAGTATGATGGTTGTGGTTTGGTAGAAAATATGCAGGGGGAAAACGGAACAAAAATACAAAGAGTGAATTAGAATAAAGGGAACTAAGAGGAATTCAATGAAGATAAGGAAGATTTTTTTTAAAAAAACTTCCTCATTTTCACTGATTTTTTTTTTTTTGGTAACATATCACATCTATGAATACACTTAAGAAACCAAAATTTTACAAAACTCTTTAAAAAAGGAAAAAACGCAATCTTGTGAAAAAAAAAAATAAAAAAAAAACTCAGTTAGAAATCATACCTGTGGTATATTTTGTTCGAATGCTACTTCCAAGAATCCTTCAAAAAATTCGATTAAAGAAACCGATGAAACAACACGGCTGTTGACCAAATCAGCCAGAAATATCACCTGAAATTTATAATGCAAAAAATTTATGCATAATATAAAGAAACCAGCTGGCGAGCCACTTTCATGCCTAAAAGTCGAGAATTCGAGTGCATCGGGGGGAAAACCAATCTTCCTATGATTTGTTTATTCGTTTCGATGGTAATACCTAATACTGATACATGCCTTGGGACTGTTATTAACTTGATTTTATGTGCAAACCCTGGAAGACGGCTCCATCGGGAGTCCTGTTAGAAGGCGGTTGCTGCTGATAACTGCTGCAACTCCAACTGTTTCCGAGTGCCTTCACCTGCTTAAACAGTGAGACTTTCTACGGAAAGTTGCTAGATGAAACGAATAACTGGCCAATGCACGGGCTGCCCGTGCGAAGATGCGTTTTTTGCATAGTTTTTTGCAGATTTTTGTCGCTACCGACACCGGTTTTTCCACCAAATGCTTCTAGTTAAACAAATCAAGAATGCCCGCCAGAACTGTCAGGAAACACCCCCTTAAAATTTCAGCTTCCTAGCTTTCCCGGCTCCTGAGTTAGCAGCTTATTTGAAAAAAATTTTCACGGGCCCGTAACCGATTTCTGGGTGCGTGTTCGTTCAGACTTACGTGGACGGGGAACATCTTCCTAAAACTACAGTCTCTTAGCTTTACAGGCTCTCGAGTTAGCAACTTGTCCGCAAAAAACTTTCACGGGCCCGTACGTGGGCACCATGCGGGTAAGACCGTCCATTTTGGGGATGGGA